CTTTCTGATGACGCTCGGCGATAGACGGAGGGCCTTGAGACCAGAAAATGAGGGTGGATCAGACGTGTGCACTATAGCCGCCTTCAACGGGCACCTCGACTGCCTGCAACAGGCGCATGTAGCGGGCATTCCGTGGGACTGGCGCACGACCGAGGCGGCCTGCCGATCCGGGAACATTGAATGCTTGATGTACGTGCATAGTAACGGTTGCGAGACGGGAGGCTACGTCTCCGCGTTGGCCGCGGCATGCGCTGGCAATTTAAACACCCTGGAATATTGTTGGATCCACGGGTTCAAGTTCCCGCGAAACTTGTGCACGTTGATCGCGAGGTTCGGCAGCATTGAGTCCTTGCGTTACGTACGGTCCTTAGGCTTCAATTGGGACGTCTCGACAACCGCGGCGGCAGCGAGTTTCAATCAACTAGAATTTCTAAAGTACCTGCACCAACACGGCTGCCCCTGGGACGCTACAACGTGCCACGCTGCATCGCAACACGGCCACCTCCAGTGCCTTGAATATGCGCATAAGAACGGCTGCCAATGGGATATGACTACGTGCCGAGGCGCCGCGCAGTACGGCCATATAGATTGTTTAAAATATGCTCACAGCAACGGGTGTGAATGGAACATTCTCACTACTATGATTGCGGCCATCAACAGACAACAAGAATGTTTCCGTTACGCAATAGAGAATGGATGTCCCTGGCCGGACTGGTTAACTTGGGAAAGGATAGCTGAGGCCTGAGAGAACGCGATGGTTGCAATATTCTATTATCCACGGACGCGAGTACCTATGTCGTTCTATGTATTTATATGTTGTATGACCAATAATCATAACAAAACTATCTATTGTAGGTATTACAATAATAATCGCAATCATGTCTGCTTTAAAATTACAAAAACATATGCCTGATATTGTGAGAACTTTTTATTATTTTTTCAATCGAAAATAAATTAACGCTAATCATAGAATAAATAAATATTTTTTTAAATAATATTTTGTTTTTTATACAATACTAGCTGCACGGAAAAAAATAATTTGGTTATAGTAAATAGTTGGAAATATTTTGGTTGGCCTAACAATACACAAGATTACACCAACTAAGACTTTACGTTGAGAATACTAAAAGTAAATAGTTGGAATTTTTGGCATTTTCAATATAATTAACGGTAATTGCAACTATATTTTATAGTTCGTAAAATATTTAACCATAATGAATGGTTCGATTGACAATAAAATAATGTTATTACTTATTTCAACCACAACTATATGATTAAAAATATTGAAATTGATAAAAATAGTTTTAAATATAAAATTGATTATAAAAATCCTATGGGTAAATCCCATCTCGTGTCATCAATACATGGGTGGGTGGTGACGGGGTGAAACAATTATTACAGAAATACACAAAATTATTGTTATGTTTTAGTCGTTGTAGAATCCAGCTGCGCAGTCACCAGTCTGTACACACCGCTATTATATTTGTAGGTTGTAAATATTATAACTTGTAAGTTGTAAGTACGTATGTTTTTACGACACTAGTCGAACTAAATATGAGTGATTTATTTGGGTATAACATATTGAATGAACTTAACATTTCTGAACTCATCATTCAAAATTTCAAAGGTAAGTTGCTATATTATATTATTTTGAAATATTATAGATTAATTAATTTTAAACCTTGATACCTAATTCTCATTTACCACTTATATAGCCACATTTAACAGATGTATTAAGTCATGTATTATTTATGTAGTAAGAAAAGCGATTTTACTTATATTTTCTTACCGTCAATCTGGGTGACTTGAAACAGTTTCACTTTTTTTCAATCATATCAGTATGAATTCCTGAGATTTAGTGATAAGTGAACCGTTCCTGGATTATAATTTTCTTTGCGTGTTTGTGATACTAAATATTCTTATCAATCGCCCGATTTTTCTTATCAAATACCAAAAAAATAATAATAATCCATTATCAATATTTTAGTCATTGTGTAATCACTTTCAAAAGTGTTCTGGATCTTTGTGAAGAACCTCAAATTTTAAGGTTTTTATATTTTTAATATATTGGAGAATAGTTCAAAAGAATATTTATTCAATAGAAAATAAAAAAAAACGCTTTTTACGATTTTAGGTCAACAGTTGAATGAAAAAAAAAAATTTCCGAGGTGACTTGAAACATGCCAATCCTACAATTTTTGGGCTTTGTTTAATTAATTTTTATGCCTACTAAGGAAGTGTTTTTTTAAATTTGTTATTTTCACTTATTTATGAGTTAAATTGTTAAACAAGAAAAGTTGTATGTATTTTATTCGCTTTATTAAAGAAAATCCTACAGATACTTTTTTTTATATTGTTTTTTGTTGTAAAAGTGATTTTTTTTTTATATACCTACCTATCTCTACTTTTTCATTTTTAAAAACAAATATATTGTTTCAAGTCAATATTAAAGTATTCTAAATTGAAAATTTAGGAGTTTTAAATAAGTGTTTCAAGTCACCCAAAATTGAAGGTGACTTGAAACAACAAGTTTTTATTTTTTTTTTCCATAAAATTTTGGACTTAAAATTTTTTACAAACTCTTAAGTGGTTTGATGGCCTTATGCGACAATGAATATATTTTTTGCAGAAATCTGAAATTTTTTTCCAGCTTAGAATAAGAAAAAGAAAGTCAAAATCGTTTCAAGTCACCCAGATTGACGGTACTAATGAAAACTAACAGTTATTACTTCTTATCATTATTGTTTTACTATATATGTAAATATTTTTGACATTCAAACTTAGGTATATAGAGTATATATTTTGGTACATAGGCGTGCGCAGCTCGTTGTGGGCCAATGATACTTGAAACAAATTTTTTGTTCCACGCCTATGATTTGGTATTATATTATTCTATACACTATAGTACTATACGGTATATAAGCAATAGGTATAGCCTATACCTTATATAATAATTAATATGTTTAAACACTTTAGTATTTAATAAATAATTTCAAATACCCATATAATATTTATTTAAGAAGACTCTACACCCATATGCGTTGTCTCCATCTTCAAACGCATAAATTAGAAAAATTTTATGTTCTGAATAATCCGTTGAACTCAAACATTGAATAAGCCATTAACTCATATAAAAAAAAAACAAAAGTATGAGATTCACTAGATTATATTCTTTATTTTAAATTTGATAATAACTAGGTCAATTCAATGTAATATTAAACATAAAAGAGTTAAATGGATTATACAGCATGTACAATTTGTTATTTTATATGTCTGCAAGATAGATAAAATGTATGCGGCTATAGCATCCTCTTAAATGTAGGAACCAGTTTTAATTTAAAGAAACAAAAAGTACCTTATAGGTACCAACACCTACTTTATGTCCTAATCTATGTCATGTATTATGATAGGTACTCATTGTACATTATAGTTTTATTAGGTATAAATATTTTCCTAGATATTAATTTGAATTAATTTTTATTGAAATTTTATTAGATAATGAAATTGATGAAAGCGCTTTTAGAAGTTTGACTGAGTCTATGGTTCGTGAAATTGTTTTACCGATAGGACCTCGATCAAACATTTTTAAAAAGATAGAAGAATTGAAAATTTCTTCAAACTTGGTAAGTTTGTATTCTATACTGTTATGATTTTTATTATAATTTTTAGGTATTATATTACTAAACTTGTGTAATCAAATATGATTGTGGGGTTAGTATTTTCACTATTTTTACAAGATTCAAAAAGAATACCTAAGTAAAAAACATTGGTAAGTTGAAATTAATTAACATTCCCTCACAAGAAAGTGAACATACTTTACCCTTAGTAAGTCGAAAAAAATGTATTTCCCTTTGAATTTCAACTTATGTATTGAGGTTCCACTATATTACACTCTATGATACAAACATTTTATACTAAATTGGGTATTAGGTAGGTATAATAAAATATTATCCATATTAGGTCACTATCGATGTTTTTGATTTTTAAATGCATTAAAGGAAATGTTATTATTAAATTAATAACTATTAACTTAGGTTTAGGTTTTAAATAATATATTTTTGTCCCTAGGTTATAGTTTTCCTTGTAAACAGGTGCAGCATATTTTGAGCAATGATGAATTAGAATGTATGTTATATTTTGTTTTGATCTGTACCCACCAGATTTTAATACAATACCGAGTACAATACTAAATTATAAAACAATAAAATAATTTAGAGGTGAACGATACTTAAGCTGGATTCCTCTTTTCTTCTATTCTTATGCGTAGTATAAAATCACCAAAATCATGAAAAGTTGTTTCATAACTTCATTATTTTTTCACATTATTGATTTTATAGATTCAACATTTCAACTTACACATATCAATTAAAATTTATATTTAAAAATTAAATATGCACGATAGATCAAAATCAATATTTTCCATTTTTGGTATCGACCATCTCTAAATATATGTTAATTGTATAATATTAAAACTGAGTTAAATAATGTTAGGTGATCGAATATATAACTCAGATCCACTCAGTAATGCTGAAAACTGTATGGCCGGATCTTCTAAAAACACTGACATGATTGGATTGCTCATGAACAGTATTACTCATGATGATAATAATAGTAATACTCATAATGATATTAATAGTAATATTCATGATGACATTAGTACAAATCAAATTAAACCATTTATTCCGATCTGACTGACATTTATAGGAGTACTGCTTTTGTCAATCGTGATCAGTCTTTACAAAGTCATAGTAAAACTGTAAGTGATAGTCATTGACCTATTAATTGTTATAGGATATTTTAAATAATCAAAATACAAAATATTAATATTTTTATTTAGTCTACTTTATTGTTTTAAATTATTGATATTATACAATTTTTTTTCCCTAATTAGTTAATGGAAACAAATAAAACATCATTGAAAGATATTCTTTGGCTTTATCACGATGGACAGTTAATTATAAATTATTTTGACACTAATAAAGAACTAAATGGGTACCTATATGAGAAATAAGCTAAGCCATTTGGTTATTACTCATTCCCTTAAGGAAGCATCTTCTAAAAAAATATCTACTTCTAAATTGATAAGCTTATCTCAAGAAATTATTGATATATTTCCTGGTGAAAACAAACAAACATATAACATACCTTATAGAAAAGAAAATGGTAAAGTAACTCCTACACGAGGCAAGCTTTGGGATAAATATTGCAATTTGAGGAGAGAACTTAGAAACTTATGTACCACAAATAAATTACAAGATGAAGTTGTCTCCACTAGTGTAAATTATAATAAAGGTATACTATTTTTTTTAAATGCTGTACGTTGAAATAAATAGAATATAATATTATATAAAATAATAATAATATTAACCTCCCTCAAAATTATTACTTTCCGCAAATAAGAAATAAATTGAAAAATAACTAAATAGTTTGATATTTTAGAATTAATTCATAGGCGTGCGCACGGGTGTGACTTATAGGGCCATACCTTAGACTTTTTAGGCATCTACTTAGGTAAAACGAGTATTACTCACTATATTCTGTAGATCAAGATAAAAAATTAATAACAGGAGAACGAAGATTAATGTTTAAAATAATTGCAATATTAATTCACATAATGTTTGTACTAATAATTGGTATAACAATTATTGTACTATACATCAGTTTCAATAATACATTTTATTTATACTTACCTATGTTATGTATGTCTATTTAATTTTAAATTTTTTTGAGGGGGGTTTTGTAAGGGTGGATGGTCAAAAAAAATTAAAGCTATGCCTGAAACAGGAGTCTGCGCACCCTATAAATTAAGTATAGGCATTATAATTAATGGTATTATAATATACCTACATTAGTGTTACCAAAATAAATAAAACAAAAACTTGAACTATTTGATTTTTTTTTTTCAAAGAATTGACTGAAGACAATATATTGTGGTTGCAAAATAATATTGCACCTTGGAATGAAGAGTAGCAGTAAAGTGGAAAAGTACATTTCTGTTCCGTTACAAATCATTGAGTGAAAAGAAAAACATTATTCTTATTTTAGTGATATACCAGCAATCAAAAGTCCACTTGGCTTTACCTTGGTTTGTTTAAAAAACTTTCTATGAGAGGGGATTACAGTTACCTCTTGGTATTAATTGTTAATGTATATTTGTTACAGTTTGAATATGACTTTGAATTATTATATCCAGGAAAAGATCCAATGATTTTATTCATAAAATGTGAGCTATTCAAAAAGAAACTTCCAGTTTATGTACAAAAAAGCAATTATAAAGGAATTGACAAGTTGGTTGTCAATGAAATTTTAGAGCCTACAGTACCCGGTAAATTTATTTAAAAAAGGAATATGCAATAGACCTATGATGGTACTAAAATATCCATTATCCATAAGTTAATGCTAATATATTTTTTAATTTAATTTACAGGATATGATAACATTGCAGCACTTAAAACTTTTATAGAGTTATTTCAACCAATTAAAGTATCTAAAAGATCAATTAGTGGAAACCAAAAAAACAAAATATTGGAACTAAAACAGTCATTTATATACTATGTTAATGTATGAAATAAATCACTGTTATTTTAAGTTATGAATGAATTTATTTTTTAATTAACAACCATTTTACAGAGTACATGTCAATTAAAAGAAGTAAATGAAGATAAAAGAAAAAAGGCTCAACTATTGGATCAGACTCTTCAACCGTATATGATTTTTGTTCAAGACTCAGAATTCAAAAATAACGTAAAAGATTTCTATGTAATTATAAACAATCATTTCTTTAAACTAGTGCTTTAAAAGCACTTGACGTGTGTTTTAAATCATTTTTCTCTCTAAATTTAAATTACCCGACAGAGTCTTCTCAGGTTTGGTATTTTATTCAAAAATATTTTTTGAATTAGAAACAAACTTTGATAAAAATTATCAAAATATTAATAATATCATACACGACTTGAATAATTGTTAAAATTATCAGGTTTTTTAATATTGTAAAGTAATATTTGTTCTGTTTATTTTGCTTTTTGAGTTACTGTTAAAATAATCAGGTTTTTAATATTGTAAAGTAATATTTTTTCTGTTTATTTGACTTTTCTAGTTACTGTTAAAAAAATCAGATTTTTTAATATTGTATGGTTATATTTTTTCTGTTTCTTTTTTGTAATAATTAATATTTACAATAATATAAAATGGCTCAATGTTTTATTTGTTTGGAAATGTTTAATTCTCAGTTAAATTTATTAAGACATATTACCCAATATCATTCATCTAACAATATATCAGCCTTCAAGAAATGTTATAGAATGTTATAGAGTATTAAGTTCTTTTAACTCTTTTAGGAAACATTTAAAAACTCATATACCTTGTGATGATCCATTAGTCATAGAACCTCAAGAACCCGTAGTAAAAAAACTTAGGTGAAAATAGCAAATTATATAATTTATCTGTAGATAGTAGTTTATCTGAAACAATAGTTCTTAATTCTGAATTGACTGTGGAGACATTTAATGAAGTAGTAACAGAAGGTGCAGTACAATTAATGTCTAAGTGGTATAATGAAGCTGTAATTCCTAGAAATAAAGTTCAAAATTTGATTAATGATATAAAATTAATTAATTTAAATAGTATTGATATTCTAAAAAATGAAGTTATAAATAATTTGAAGACCAATGAAAATAATCCGAGAACAATTTCAAAAATATCAAACATGTTTGATATCTTAAAAAATCCTTTTAAAGACCTTGAAACCGAATATTTATGTCTCAATACTTTAGAACGATTAGGTGTTTATATCAAGCCCGTTGAAATTTCTATAGGAAATCGATTAAAAAATGTTATTAAAAATGGAAATACTGTGCTTGATACTGTTAAAATTAATGAATATATTATTCCATTAAGATTGGTTTTTAAAAAAATTTTCGAACAACCTAACGTTTTAATAACTGTTTTAAAATATTTTAATGAATTAAAGTCTATGCAAGGAAATATAATTAGTAGTTATTACAGAGTGAAATTTGGAAAGAAAAGTGTAGTAAAAAATCCAAATAAACTCTTAATACCTTTTTTTTTTTATATTTTGATGATTATGAAACTAATAATGCTTTGGGGTCCCATGCTGGTAAAAAGAAATTTGGAGCAGTTTACGTATCTTTCGGATCTTGTTTTCCTTCTGAATTTCCTTCTTCATTAAATTACATATTCCTTGCATTGTTATTTAACTCTATTGATAGAAATGAATTGGGAAATATAATTATTTTTAAAGAGTTAATTTCAGAAATCAATTTTTTACAAAATAATGGAATTGATGTTCAGATCGAAAATAATAGTTATACTATTCATTTCTCCTTAGCATTAATTCTTGGCGATAATCTTGGCCTACATTCGATACTAGGATATACTGAAAGTTTCATGGCCAATTTTCCTTGCAGATTCTGTAAATGTAGTAAACTGGAATGTAACTACTCTGTAAAACAAGATAACAATAAATTAAGAAACAAAGAAAATTACTCTCAAGATTTATCTATTGATAACTTGTCATTGACAGGTATTCATGAGGCATGTGTTTGGAATGAAATTGATGGTTTTCATGCAACTCATGATTATTCCGTTGACATAATGCATGATATACTAGAAGGGGTGTGTTCATATGATATTTCTGAAATATTGTTTGAGTTTATTATAAATTTAAAGTATTTTTCTTTGAGTATGTTAAATAATCGTATTCAGTATTTTGACTATGGTCCAATTGAAGGACAAAATAGACCACAATATATAACAATTAATCATTTAAAAAAAAAAAAACTTAAAATGTCTGCAAGCGAAATGCTTTGTTTTTGTCGTCATTTAGGTATTATGATTGGTGACTTAATTCCTGACAATTCTGAAGTATGGCTGTTATATATATTATTAAAAAAAATAATTGATATTGTCACTTCTAAATCTATTCAAGTTGAATGTGCAATTCGTTTAGAAACTTTAATTACAGAACATCACCAATTATATTTAAAATTATTTCATACTAACTTAAAGCCTAAACATCATCATCTAGTACACTACCCTTATATAATGAAGAGAGTTGGTCCATTATCGCATTTGTGGTCAATGAGGTATGAATCGAAACATAGAGAATCCAAATTAACAGCTAACTCTATCTCAAGCAGGAAAAATATATGTTACACGCTTAGTGTTAAACATCAACTAAGATTTGCATACCGCTTACTTTCAAAATCAAATATACTAGCCTATACATTGGATGTAGGGAAAATTATTGATTTATCAAATAGTTCATTAGATGATTTGAAAAGTAAAATAAATAATGCAAGTATAGATTTAGATTCTGCAAGGTTTGTTTCATGGTTGATTTCAGTATCGCGATATACTATAAAAAATATGATTATAATATTAAATGTAGAAGACATGCCTAAATTTGCTAAAATTATACACATATTTTTTATTATTGGATGTGATATTCCTTTTTTAATTGGTCAAAATTATTTAACAGTATCACACGATGAACATTTACAAGCCTATGAGGTTGAGTATTGTTCTGATTTTATTTGTATTTCTTTTAATGATATAATTGATACCAGTTCTTGTGTTCTGAATATAAAACCTAATAGCCATTCATATATTTCATGTAGTTTGTAAAAATGCTTTATTTTATTGTTATGTTGTATATATATTTTAAAAACAATAAACTAAAATTATGAATATTTATTTTGTTTTGTAACTAATACCTATGTCCTATATTATCTACCTACCAGTCTAGAAATTTTCCTCAACTAAATACCTAAGTGTAAATAATATATTATGTATTAATCATTAATGTATTAGTATTACCTATATATAGAAAAAAAATATTGAATATATTAATTTATTGTAATTGTTATCATTTTCGTAATGTTACCTCAACAACATGGTATGGTCAAAACAACCAAAGAACTATGGGTGAATTAACATAACTATATGTAGCTGCAACTAATAATTTATTTGGAGTTACTATAATATATTGTTGGGATTGCTAAATATGTTTTAATATATTGTTTGTACAACATAAGAATATGGTTGAATAATCTTAATTTATAGTAACCCTAATAATATGTTTATAGTCAGTACAACAAAATAACTATGGTAGAATTACAATAAGTATATTGTGATTGTAACCGATGATTGTTGTGTTATATTAACAAAATATTTATGGTTGTTACAACAAAATCGTGTTAACAATATTGATTTAAATGATTTAGTATTTGTAACTTAATGATTAGATTGTCCCTATAGGTACAATGGAATATTGTTCGGCTTACTATTTAAATGGTTGTAGTAACTTTGTATTTTTTCCCATGTGAATAACACGGCGTTGCCCGGAAAACAATTCCGATTGTTCAACTCCTTTTAGGTGTAACATGCTTCCATTGCGTGTTACACCCAAAAGTAAAGTATTTTTAAGTGTAAATTATATTATGTTTTAATGTATAATAGCCATCCCGACCACCGTTGTCCGTGGGATTTGCAGCAGTATATTATCAGGTAGACAATCTACCTACATCGCTCATCGCGGGCACTTACTACAAGGTAAGTCAATATTGATTCAAAAGTTAATAAACATTATAGGTACATAAATAAATAAATATATAGTTACAATTATAAAAATTTTAATGTTTTCGGAAAAAAAATCATTCAACCAACCGTTTTGTAAAATAAATTTAAATAATAGCACAGATAATATGATATAATATAATATAATCTGTGATAATAGCAATATAAATGTATAATAAAATACACTTAGTAAATAATATAGTACTTAGGCTGACGAACCTTATCCTAAAAATAATTGAATTACGTGTGCATTGGCTTATAACCATGTGTGAGTTTGTGTGTATGATAAGGTATGTAATATATATGTTGAGCGTGTGTTCAGAATGAAAACTGATGAGTACCGTATGGTATCGTGTGTTTCATAGTATATTATAGTTTGTAAGTGTTTGGTCATATCATATTTATATGCACAAATATACCTATGTATCGTATATATTATGTAAATTGTATATTATTATGATATAGGCACTGCAAATTCACTGATCAAATCTTAAACTGTAATGAAATAAAAATCTTTTTGAACAATACGATTAGCAAAATTGAGCAAAATATAGTATTTTAATATTAACATAGGTATACGAGCATGAATATGATAATAGATTAAATTGGCCTGTATATAGGTACCTATTATCTATCTGAATTTGTTTAGTTTTTTTTTACTTTGAAAACTGGTTTGTTTGCCTGCTTTAATTCGTTCGATTTAGTACGACTTTCTATTAGACTTTTAGCTAGCTGATTCAAGATCTTTCGTATTAGATTTTAATATATTATTGTCTTCTTTATATTTCTCCAAACCATTGTTTTTTAACCTACAAACCAATTTTAATCTAATTATAATATAATAATAATATGCAAGCCTGGTCATTCAGTGGGCAGGTTAATGATAATTTTTAATTAAGTTAATCGAAGTTGTTAGAAAGCAATTTAAACATTTTAAAGTTAATAGTTATACTATTTTTTCTTTAATCTCTGTGAAGTTAAAAGTTACAATTAAATTATTAACCAGGTTGTTATTTTTTTAACATATAAATATAGCCATATTTCATTATTTATAAACTAATGTATCTACTATATCAGTATCTTCGATTTGATTCAAAGTAACTTTTTATTTATCAAATTTATATAAATAAAAATCAATTAAGTTATAAACTAAGTTAACTTAACCAGTGCCGCAACTAGGTTTTGTGGGGCCCTGATGCGAAACATTTTAAGGGGCCCCTCGCCACTATAGCCTAGTATACTTATACTCCAATATAACAAAAAAAGTAAGTGCTACAATTAACCTTTGGTAGACCTCTAATGCAAGGCAATATTTATGGCCCCTAAATATTAACATTTTTTCAAGCATTATAGTAATGTTGCTTATATTAA